TCCACTCCTCCCCTCGCCACCTCCGAGCTCCTTTGCTTCCTCTCTCCCTCGCCTTCCTTCCACTGCTGCCACTGCGTGGCCCAGGTTATGGTTTAAACATGACGGCCACCCCTTTGAAGCAGGGGGGGCATCGTGATCATCATCATCTGGGCTCATCAGCAGCCTCGGACCAATTTAAGTAACACAGAGACGGAGACGCAGCAGAGACCTCAACCCCAGGGCTTCTACGTCTCAATCTGAAAGGTAAGAATAGCTGGCGGTGTCTGGGAAGGCGTGAGGGGGGAGGAGGGGTCACTGCGCAGCAAGCCCGGTGTCAGCCAGTGCCATTTAATTGCCAGTGTGAAGCAGAAGGCCCCGTGCCTGTTTAATGTATAATGATCCGGCCAGTGCACTTCTCCTGTTCCCCAGGAAAAGAGAGGGAGCAGGATGATGGGGAAAAATATCAAAGGGCAGGCTTAAGCACGAGGGGCAAAGGGGCTTTCATATCCTCCCACCTGTCACACACACAGCTCAGTCACATACACACAGTATAGGGACTTGCTCTGGCAGCAACCCCATTATCAAAATAATGTCTTTCATTTGCTCCGATGACCGTCTGTACTCTCCCTGACTTTGTTCCCCCCTTCTCCTCCTGTCCTAAAATGATGTATTTTAAACAGGACCCAGGTGGAGGGTGTTCATCGCAGGACTACGACGAACCACGTTCATCCCCTGCATCCTAATTTGGCTTGAGCTGCAGCACACAGGACTGGTACTGAGGCAGGGTTTCTCCTACAAAGACCCAGCACATGAGAGGAGTACAAGGCCAGGCCGTCTATTCTGCCTCCACCTCTGGCCTCCAGCTCTCTACTAAATATTTTTTAAATGTCATCAACTGCCTAGTTAAAGAGCAAAAAATGAATGGACACGTCCGGTTTTCTGGCACCAGATTGTTTTTTTTTTTTTTTGTTCGGCCCATTCAGAGTTTGAATTTTTCTTGTTTTTGTGATGTAGGAGTTGTGTTTTTTTTGGGGGGGAGGTACGGGGGGTTGTTAAATCCTCACACTCTCCAGAGAGCTCCCAGAGCCCTCCATCTATTCAGTTATACTAATTCAATTAGGGGCCTCATCACAGAGCATTAGCTCTTCCCCATGGCCAGTTGCCCCACACCCCCCCGCCAGTATATTCAATTAGCTGCATTGGAAATAAGAAACGAGGCAGCCATTAAGGGACCAAATTAGCAGTCACTTGAAAACCTGGTTGACGGGGGTCCTGCTGCCAGATGCCAATGTCTGGACAGACCTGCAACCTGACCCTTTACACCTCAGACTGATGTGGGTTTCTGACTCTTATACAAACATTACCCAGGGGCGTCCACTTGGCAAAATAGAAGCTGGGAGTCAGACCTTTTATCCCACAATATGGCCATCTTAGAATAAACTCGTTCCTTTTCCACACAATATAGAGACCAAGCTTTCCTCGAGGGGAAAGGTAAGCACTTTTACAGCAACTGATAAATATGCAGACATTTATACAAGATGACAACAACAACACATTTCCTCCCTCCTCCCTCCCCTTCGTGTACTAGCGTCCACAGCTGCACTTGAGCCGGGCCCTAATGGGCTGGACCCAAACACCAGCCAAGTGCTAAGTTAAATCTAGTCCCCCATCAAAGTGTTACTGTGTTTGTTTATATGTCTGGCATGTGGAACTCACAGCGAGGGCACGTCCCGGCTCATTTTCAAATGTGCCTCACATGCGTTGGGGGGTAAATGTTCTTCAGGGGCCTCATTAGAAAAATGATAAATATAATTAATATTTGAGCATGCTAGCTGGAGCCTCGCACTGGAGAATTGGCCTTTTGAACACATGTGGGGAGTGTGCGCTGTCTCTTAAGGGAGAAGTTGTTGCCCTGCATCTCTGCATGGGAGTGTGTGTGTGTGTGTGTGTGTGTTGCTTGTGAATTGTCCTCACAGCCAACACAAACTCACTCAAGTGAATGTCAGAGACTGACAAAAGTGTGTGTGTGTGTGTGTGTGTGCTTTAAGCTTCTGGAGCTCAACTCACCTTGACATGGATGCGTTGACAGTGAGAGCAGTTGGGTAGGGGTGTCTAAAACCCCCTGTTGTGATTGGATAAACAGGTTGACCTTGCCTAGAGAGGGAGAGGGGGGAAAAAAGAAGAGAAGGTAAAGGAACTGGGTTGATGGAGGAGGAGAAAAGGTACAGCCCTCCGTCTCTCGTCTCTCCCCACCCTGGGCCGCTTTATTCTCATTTGATCGGGACAAAAATCTAGGGGATTGCAGAGCGCGGATCAAAGGGGAAAAAACTCTGAACAATTTGAATGCCACAAATCTTGATAGCAATGGCTAATTAAATTTCATAACCCTTCGCTCTGTGTCGACAGAGAGGGGGCCTGTTCCTCCCCAAGCTGGAACTAGGTGTTTTGTTGTGATAATTAAAGACGAAGCGCGGGTCCCTTTAATGGAGCCATCACGCTAATTGAGGTCTACACATCCAAAGACAAACAATAATGAATGTAAATTTATACCAAAATAAAGTGCAGCAAATCAAAGAGTGCCATGGCTGCGCTCCGGGCCTCTCTCGGTATTTAGATCGCGGTGAGAAAACATTAAATTAACAGAGCTTAATTTGTAGCCTTTTGTCATATTAACAAGTGTTGACAAGAGTTACCAAGGGAGTGCCCCCATGTGGAATTGTGGGTAAAATACATGCAATCATGGTTCATTGCTGTAATTGGGCCGTACAGACAGATGCAAAATAGGATTCAGCACAAAGTAGCAGGATGTGGTTGGTGAGGGTCTGAAGAATCTACATTGGGCTGGTGCGGCCCAGACTGACTTCTTCACTAAAGTAAATTCAGGATGCAGGTATTATGTAGCCCACATTAGAGAAATGTCATTAGCTGTGTAGACTAGGGGTGGTTAACAGAACTGATCAAAGTTTAAAATTTAGTTTATTTATATATTTCAGTGTTGTTGACCCTGCTATCTTATTAGCAACACTTTTTTCGTAATTTAACGAGAGTCCAAAATAATTATTATTATTTAAGATAAAACAGACATGAGGTCATACACTAATACAGTGACAAAAGGAAACGTTAAAGCAGCAGTTCACACCATGACATACACATCACACGTCACACTCGCTCAATAACGACAGGGCACACATTACATCTTAATTTTGTAGATTCAACACTTATGAATGAATAATAAAAAAGGTTTCACTTACTGTGGTACTAACCATCCTAGCGGATGGGGGATCTGGCCGACAGTGCCAGGTGACAGCGGGTAATAAGGAGATATGTCTGGAGGATGCGGAGGCCTTGGAATTCCTGCACAAGAAAGAGGATGACAGGAAATGAGGAAGTGGTCAGGCAAGCTGATAACAGAGAGAAAGAGAGAGAGATAGAGAGAGATAAAGAGAGAGTGAGAGAGAGAGAACCAAATCTTTGTTGGTGATTAATTCATTCTTTGTTGAGAATTTCACATCTGAACACAGCCGACATCACAGAAGTGCAGATGGGAGGAAGAGGGCTCGTTGCTCACATGTACACGCCGCTAAATCACACGGTGCTAAATCACACTCCCTGATCAAAGGCCTTTGAGGCAGCGGCGGTGGCACAATGTGTCGGAAGAGGCAGAGGGGAGAGAGGTGAGGAGAAAACACCAAACACGATTGCCACATTTGTCTGGTGAATCAGAAGATTAATGATATGGAACGACTGAGGTATAGGAGTTAACAGAACACACCAGCACAATTAAAGGCTGCTCTGTGATCACACGGCTTTCAGTATAGAACTCCAGGTGGAGTCAGTGTGATAATTCACAGTGGCACACCATCTGTATGGATATCAACTTCCTACAAATCCTCAAAAAACAAAAAAAAATCCACATGAACTATGAGACTGAAGGGATAAACAGGCAATAAATGTTTGGGGTTTTTTTTTTGGATAAAATTCAACATTACTTTTAGGATCAATTTCAACTCTAACTCTCTCTATATATACATATATGTACATATATATACATATATACGTATATGTATATATATATATTTTTACTTCTAATGAGAAACTTGTGTGAGAGTCAAAAGAAAATATTCTAAGGTTGGGGTCTCCACACTTTTTCGCCTTGGGAGCTACTATTCAAATGACTAGGCTAAAGTGATCTACCTGCACTGAAAATGTTAAATATATATTTATTTAAGTAATGTAGAATTTTGTCAAAGCTTTTTAAAAATAAAGAAATATAAAAGAAAAAATGACTACATTAGGTTTCAACATTATTTGTTCTTTCTTTGCCTCGAGTTTCCAAACTTCAACCATTAGTTAGTCCAGAACGAAGGCCTTAAAAAGGTCCTTAACTCAGCCACCCGTGTAAAAATAACTTTTGTCTCTCATGACAAACATGAAACAGGGAACACTAGACATGTGTGAAAGCCCAGCAGGGAGTTGTGTGTGTGTGTGTCAAAGAGAGAGAGAGAGAGAGAGAGAGATTTATCCACCAGGAACTGGGGGACCTTTAGTTTGGACTGATGCACGTTTCTTTCCTACAGCTGGCTCACCCTCGTACAGCTGTCGTCACAGATAGAATTTTGGCTGGTGCCAACAGGGCCTAAAACGAGCCAGTTAATTTTTTACAGATCAGAACTTGGCCAGTGCTTGCAGTTACACCCTTAGTTCACAGCTGATCCTGTGTCTTTAGGCGCTCTTGAGAAAGAGCCCGTTGCAATCTTTTGTGCAGCAGTTTCTTGGGAAACACAAAACGTTTTTTTTTTCACTCACAATAATGTTCTGACTGAAGGCTGTTAAGTAAAAGAAAGTAAAAAAATACAGGAAGAAAGAAAAGACCAGCAAATGTTATCCCAACCCCAACCACTGCTTAAAATGTAATACATGTCATTAATTGAATAATTAAACACTAAGCCCAATTACGCAGCACCATTAAGCACTACATTAAACTGCAGCTGGTAAATTAGTTCCCTGCTGTAAAGACCATAATAATAAGGGTGCATTATTACCTAAAATATCAGCTGGAGCATCCAGAGTGCCTAAAAAAGCAGGGCATTATTCACTAAAATGAGAAATGCATTAAGAGACTGAATGGCAGTAAACCAAATGAAGTGTTAACTAAAGAGCCTTACAGACATGAAGGACATTGGTAAAAAAAAACATGTATGTTGTATTTTGCATGTTTGCAGCATCAAGATTTGTGGGTGAACTGCTGAGTCTGGAAACAAACATTTTCTGATTGAAACACAATCACATTCTTGTCTGACATTATCATTTGATGTTTATGATACTAATAGTTATTGACTTCTCAGTTGCTGTTTTTTCAGTTACTTTAAATGTGAAGAGCAGATAGGTTGCCAGTTGATAATCACTGCTCGAAACATTAACACTGGTTGATCTTCCGTTTGTGTTTTGTGGGTGACATCATTTTCACTGAAATGTTAAGCCTAACTGTGTAATATCTGGTCATTAAGGTTTGCACTGTTTAGCAGCCATTTGGGGACGTATCCATGAGGACAAATTTCTTTGTTTTGTTACTGCCCTCTGACTGTTACATGTGAGTTCTTCAGACAACAGTAGTCATCTTTGTCCTATTCTGGGCAGGTGAAGAAACAGTAATACCAAGGTCAAAGCTGTCTGCTGATTTCCCTTTTCTTTCAGGAGCCACTGTTCTGTCTGTCCTGTCATAACCAAACAAGACAGCACTTCTTATTGGAGCCGAACCATGCTAATGGCCATGACGGCTAAATCATTTGGAAACAGATGAGGGTGGCAGAGGCCAACGAATACTGAGTAATAATGACGTATATAAGAAACGCTTAACGCTCCTATTACAACGTACTTATCATAATCACGGGGAGTCACCGTTATTGAATAGCAGTTCAAACGGTACAGTGTACTTTGCAAAACACCTGCAATGTCAACACATGGTTTCCAGTGGAAAGTGTCTACAAACAGACGAAGAGACAGATCGACGCCATCAAGACAAACACAGGGCAGAGTCTGAGATGGAAGGGCATCATAAAACATTCACACACCCATCTGTGCAAACAGAGTCCATGACCTCAAGTATCATATCTGACAAAGGCTGCCACTGTGGGGTTTTTTTTTAAAGAGCATACAGTATTAAGAAATGAGAATTGGGATCCTGACATTTTCACAAACCTGTACTTGTGCTCTGCTGGGTTTGAAGCAGTTGGTAACTTGATAAAAAAAAAAAAATATATATATATATTTTGTTACCTGTTTTGGGATCCACGTCTGTCTGTAGGTGAGGTGGGGGATTCCCTGGTGTGAAGTGCTCATTGCTGTAGGTGATCAGAGGAGTGAGGGGGTGCACATGATGAGGGTGCTGTACCACTGGAACCTTATTAGACTGAAAAAAGAAGGAGGATAGAAAGACAGAGAGAAAAAGGACAGAGAGAAAGAGAAGGGAAACAAAAAAAAAAACAGAAAGGACGGGTGTTAATATTTGGGTTACAGTTAGAGATCGCAGGCGCCTGCTATAGAATTATAAGTTGGTTTGAAAGCACTCGGAAGAAGAGCTCAAATGTTGGGTACTCTCGAGGCGCCAAACCACCAAGCCACAGTGAAAATAGTGTGGTTTGTAATTAAAAACACTTCTGCGGTGACACCCTGGAATCCAGTAACACAATCTGAGAGAGTTGAGGGTTTGCCAGTTCACATTTGGGCCTGATGTGTGATGAGGCACTTTTAACCACGGTTGCAGTGAAGTAATCGATCATCTGCAAACCACAAAAATCAAGGCAGCGCGTGTAAATCCACAGTCATTAGTGGCTTCAGTCAGCACTCTGCTCCGTTCGCCTCCTCCTGGTCTCTCTGCCTCGCTCCCCTTCTCTCGTCCATCCCCCAAAGGCCTGATTTGTAGTGGGTCGGGGTATATTGTTGTAAATGGGTTAGGAGAAAGGAGGTGGGGTTGAAAATCCATTTCTGCATTTTTGCCAAATTAGTTTTAGCTATGTAATCTTCTCTTTGTGCTGCTAAGTGGCGCAGGCCCCCTTTTTTCAATTACCCAAAGATTACAGTGGAGCTGTAGGGTGTGCTGCCGTGGGCCCCTGCGTTGACAGGAGCTCAGACCCTCTCATCGGGCCCGAATGGACACACACACATACACACAGAGTCCCCGGCCACTAGATAACCAGATTAGTCCTCTGCTGTAGACTAGAGCTGGTAGCAGGAACTGCTCCTCGCCTCTTTACACACACACACATCCTTACCCTGCCCTCAGCAGTCAAAGAAGCAGCACTAATCAGGCTTATCATAACATGGATGCTCTGTTCAGGGGGGGGGAGGAGTGGGACACCAAGCTGTGGGGGAGTGAAGGGGCTGGGAGCCGGAGGGGGTGCTGGTGCTAATACATTAGATGATGCTCAAGCCAAATGTTCACCCAGAACACTAGAGCAGAGCTGTGGGCCCAGAGTGAGATAAACAGGCTTAGGCTTCAAACTCATAACGTATTGGTGGCATTTTATCACTGGGCCTTCGTCAGAGTCCATTCATTTCCACACTTTCACCCGGTAGCTGTCCTTGTGTATATTCCATTCAGAAGTCTTCCCTACAGTGATGGTGCTGAGGGTTTGAGATGGGGGATGGAATGGGGTCAGGAAAGAAAAAAGGGGCGGGGGGGGGGGGGGGGGGGGGGAGAGAGGGAGAGAGAGAGAGAGAGACCAGAAGAACTCCAGGGAGGCAGCGAGACTCCTGGGACTCATTCACAGCCCTGAGCTGAAAAGACTAAGGAGGAGAGGAGGAGTGTTGAGCTGTGTGTGTGTGTGTGTGTGTGTGAAGAGGAGGAAGGGGACAGTAGCCGATATACGATTCATTAGAAAGAAACACAAACAATAATGCCCCTTGTTTTGTGTTGTTCTTGTGCAGATGATCATGTTTCAAATCAAATTTTAAAAAATGAGGGAAAAAGGCAAAAGTAAAAGGAAGAATAATCTGTGAAACAAACAAAAAAACTAGTCATAGGTTAGGCATGGGTTAGCTGCCAAGAAAGCTGAGTGTTAGAAGAAGCCCTAGGTTTGCCACCTTCTTCTTCATCCAGTCCTCCGTATCTCTCACCTCCTGACCTCTCACCCGCTCCTCGCTTGGTTAATGATGTGAAAGAATGTTCTTCATTCTTCTTTAGCTCCGTGTTGAAAAGATTAGTGGCCATTTAAATGAGTTTCTTTGTCCTAGAATCCCAGTCATTGAGTAAACGGTCCAAAATGCCCATCCACTGAGTACACATCCAGAGGCTGGCTGATTTACATCACAGTCACTTGGGGCCTTGTGTTGTTTGATTTATTTAGTAATAAAGGAAATTCAATATAATGAATAATTTGTTACCTCCACAAATGAACAGCTAATATAGAAACTGGGCCACATTAAGGTCATATGGAATTGAGATATTTTAGTGTTTTAATGGCCATCAAGGAGATGTGAACAACCTCTGGTCCAACACACTCACTTGAATGCCTCACATGATCACTGCACACACAGCACCATTGACTCTGCCTCCTGCTGAGGTCAAGGAAATGCTTGGTGGTCCCTGCAGAAAAGAAGGCACAAGCACCTGCCCCGTGGCCACCATTTGGACAATACAAACCCCGGACCCGCCTGGCAAGCTGCTGAGCGCTGGAGTCGCTCAGAACCCACTGAGTGCCGAGAGAAAAAAAAAGCATTCAACGTGGGAGGTTTTACACTCCTCTGTTTCAAAAGCCCAAAGGAAAAAAAAGAACATTTCCTGCCCCCGACACCCCCACTGAACTGCATCCTTCCCACCACCTCCATCATTACAACAAACAAATATAGTCAAAGACAAACACAGGTGCTGCTCTCCAGTTTTGATCACCAGATTTTTCAAGACTCGAAACAAGGGATTCCACATGTGCCTGAGCCTGAAGGAGAGTTTAAGAGCATTCTCAAGTAGGAACATCAATGAACAAATTGACTTCTTCCACATCCAGTACACAGTCGTGCCAACTGCTGCAGACCAGCCCTGTAAAGTACAGGTATTACAGAGCAGCTGTAGTATTTTAACAGCACAGTGTCTGATTCAACCAATAGCAACTCACCAAATGTTACATTTCAGGAGTACGCATATTTTCTGGTAATATATTTTCTACAAAGGCTGGACAAATGAGTGACCTCATTCAGATCCTGATAGTGAAAAATGGTCTACAGGAGAAGAGAGAGGAAGTGGAAAGACACAGCAGGACAGAGTTGAACAAAGTGAGGGGGGACAAGAGGAGGAGGCTGGACAGAAAAATAGCTGTTAGCCTTGCATTTCCACCCGGTGGCACCTCGCAGGGACAATTTGAACCCTTAATGTGAATAAGGTGACCTTAGAGGGCCCAGGCCAGGAAGTGCAAGTGATGGTGGTGGGGGCTGCTGCCTTTGTCCCTATGCTTTATGTCATGATATGATGAGTTGTCACAACAGCCTGTGGGGCGCTAATGAGCTGTAGTGAGGCCAGGGCAGAGGATGTGAGGCCGAGAAGAGAGGGGGGAGAGAGAGAGAGAGAGATGTGAGGATGACAGTGGAGTGATGGATTGTGGTTCTCTCAGAGCTCCAAATTCCAAAGCAAGCATTAAAAGATGCTGGTGTGCACCGAGCCTCTCAGAAGGTACAAGGCTCACATCCAAAGACATGCAAAGTGATGACGCAGAATCAACTCTTACAGATATACTAGGGTTGGTGTTGTTCTTGGTATGGAGCTAAGGCCAAGCAAATATGTCATCGAAACAGTCTGTCTTTACACACAGTCAATCACAAACCCACAAGACAGTCAAACTAGCCATGGTAGAAGTTGGTTGGATCAATCCATAATCAGAGACACTAAAAGAATACTGTGATAAACTGTAATGGAATATAAAGTTCTGCATGTAAAAGACTATAACAGCCTCAATAGTCAATTATACCACAGAGATTAAAAACCCTGCTACAATTAGGAAAAATATTTCTTGATGAGCACTAGAAGAAAAAAAAAAGAACCTCCAAACTGTAGGAGGGCAGAGTGGGTAAAGAGCTGATATGGAGGTGTTGATCAGTTTTCTCTTGCAAAGACGATGCGTCTCTGAGGGCATGGGGGGCTCCCGAGACCACAGTATATTTAAAAGTTAATCTATTCACTTTGCTGCAGTGACATGCCGACTGCTTGATCAGAGCACTGAACAAAAATATTATGTGGGCCAGAGCCTTTGCTCCTTTTCCTCCTGCTCTCCTCGCTTTCGCTCAAGTCGTTCGTCACCATTTATTTTCACTTCCCGTCTTTGATAGTCGGCACATCAAATGGAATCGCAGAAAGGACATGTTCTGATATGTCAGGGATAAATAAAACTGCACACAAATAGCTTAAATATGAAGTGGCGTTTGGCAGAGCTGTTGTGTTCTGTGAAGACAAATCGCCTCACAGACAGGCGAGCGGGTGCGTTAAAGCGTTTCCTTTTCAATGTAAACAGCCTCTTGAGCTCTCGTACCTGAGTAAAGGGGCTTCACTGAGAGGTGATATTGTATCACTGTGTTAAGAGCCACAATGAAGTTGGCCTTTTGAAATGCAATCAGCCCCCCACAATTCCAGTTGAAAGCCAGCCAATTAGGAATTTTAATTGGATGACAACATTAACAAAGAGATATGTTAATGCTGAAAATATTTTGTTTTTCATTTCACGCTTAATACGTGTGTTTGATTTTATCACGCTGATAAGAAGACGCTTGTTTAAATTATTTTTGAATCACGCACAAATTTGACGAGTATCAAAAATGTGTTTATGTGCTGCAAGGGACGTGCAAACGCAACAAGAACGTATGTTCAAGAACATAAACAAAGAAGTTCTCACAGGACTATGATGAAGAGACTTCAAGTCAGATGACCATCATTAGCACAACTAGAACTACTAGATCAACCTGTCAGAGCATCAGAGGTGAGGGAGAGGGAGACAGAGGGAGGGAGGGAGGGAGAGAGAGAGACAGTGGTGAAGCGGGGCAGCAGTGCATCCAGCTTTACTCACCCAGCTGTTCAGATTCAGGTGCCAGCAGCCCACCTGCTGGAGGAGAGAGAGCCCAGGGCCCAGAACTCCTGCCTTGGCTCCCGTCTCCTCCGACCCGCTCGCAGCTCCATTTTGCAGGAACATGACCCCCTCTTTCCCACCCCCGCCCCCGTCTTCTCTCTTCCTGGCTCCCCAGCCTCTTCTTTCCACTCTCTATGCTGGGAAGCTCCCCTGCTTCTCCCGGCCTCTTGTCTCCTCCACTTCTTCTCCTCCTTCTTTGTCCGTCCAGGCCTTAGCTCCTTCCTCCACAGTGCAGGAGAATGTTGCTGGGCATGTGTGGTGGGGATGCATGTGTGTTTATCCAACCCCCCCCCCGCCTCCCCTT